GATAGATAGATAGATAGATAGATAGATAGATAGATAGATAGATAGATAGATAGATAGATAGATAGATAGATAGATAGATAGATAGATAGATAGATAGATAGATAGATAGATAGATAGATAGATAGATAGATAGTGTGATATAGTTTGAATAGAACACCTTTAGTCTGATCTCTCAGATGAATATTCATCTGCAAACAATAACATATTGTTATTGTTAATCCAGGTAACTTCTACTGAAACCCCTCCAATGGTATTTATATATATCTATGACTTCTTTGAGAAGTTTAGGGTTTGGTTTTTGCTTCTTTTCTGTCCTGTGGCCTTCACGTCACACTCAGCTGTAGAAGGACGACGCAGCTTAAGTGCTGCTGCACTCACCGACATCATTGTTGTTCCTCTCGGCCGATACTGTTTAAAATAAAAAAATCACTTAACTGTTTTTGTTTGATCGAGAAACGTGTCAGATATTAGATATTAGCTGTGACTTTTTGTTTTTAATTCCTTCTCTTCGTCCTCTGTGATTATCTTCCTCCTTCACTCCCGGGCGCCCCACTCCGATGCAAACAACGTTCTCATTAATATTTCAGTCGTTGTTAGGAGAGCTGTGCGAGATGAATCCCTACAAACACGCACACACGAGCCCATTTGTGCACACTTAGGATACGGGAGCTCAACAAACCATCAAATTCTTTAAAATGTTTTTCTCCTCTTCTATTTTTACACAAATTAAAACAATGATAACTGAATTATAGACTTGAAATAATGATTTCAGGACACGCAGATGAAAATCAGAGTGCTCTATATTGATTTGAACTCACATCAATTAATATTTATTCAAAGCTTCAGTGTCAGGAAACTTTATGGCAACAAAAGATTTTTAAAAAATGTGTGTAATGAATGTAAGTGACTTCTTTTCTTCAAACTCCATGAGATAACCTTCTGTTCTTCTGGCGTTGCACCCGTTTATTAATGACTGCTTGTTGGGGATGAGGAAGTTGGCAGCCTTAATGGGTACTGGAAACCAGAAAGCAGAGGGAATTTATGGCTCAGATTTGAACAAGAAGTCAGCGGATGGAACAATGTGATCCCCAGCGTGTGTTTGGACAGAGATCAGCCATAAGAGATGAAGGACTGGAGGATTAACTAACTGAGGTCTGTTAGAAATGTCAGGATCTCAAAGATGAACAGAGTTTTGGTGTCTAAAGTGTCTTCTCCCTCCAGAGCCTGAAGTTAACTGATCAGACCAACTGATGGGGCATAAAGAGGGATTATGGGATTAAGAGAGTATAATACACGCCATTATTGTTTCTCACAGGAGTACAAATAAAGTTTATTGAAAAAGTCTGGTTGGTTAAAAATTAAATCTGAAGCTTTATACCTTTCTTTGCGACCAGACAGAAACTTATGTGATGCCAGTGGTGATTTTAGCCTCTTTTTTGGGGGGTGTTGGTGCTCAAGCACCCCTAAATTAGCACTCCTGAAAAATTAAGAAACCATCATTACAATTTTGTAAAGAAACTCAATTTTCAAACTTTAAATTCACCCAAATACTGAATAAATTTGGAATAAACGAGGACAGTCTTAACCAGTTAAATCTATGATTTTGTTTTTATTGCACAAGTCGGATCCATAAGGATCAGCTGATCAGCAACTGACCAGTCGGCGACTCTCCTGAAGTGAAACGCACCTTACCTGCAGGAGCTCCACCCCCTTTTCCTCCAACAGCATTGTTGGGGTTTTGCATTACGAACACTTTGCGGTCGGACGGATTTCATAAAAAAATAATCAGAAAAAGGATTAAATGATGTTAGTGGGGAACATGTAATTCAGACAGTGTTACCCTGAATGTTTGGAGGATGTAATACAATTTATTCAATTTCACAAACTAAACCAAGTTTGGAAAAATGTAAAAGATGGATAAAGGCCAGCAGCCGACCTCATGAGCAGCTGAATATAACAGTTATAAACAGGAAGTACCACGTGTTCATCTGTACGAAGGTAACTGCAGGTAAATTTTCCATTTTCTGTCATAATTACATTTAATGGTTAAATTAAAGGCTAATGCTTAAAGCTAGCTGTGCTTTGTTTTGTGTTTTATACGTAGATAAGTTTAGTCTTAGTTATGATCAGTTAACACTAAACAGATTTTGAACAAAGCGTTTTATTAGGTTGAGTAATTTAAAGTGGAGCGTTACATCTGTAGAATCTTAGCTAGCGCGTTGTATTGCGTGCGGCTAGCTTAGCGCTACGTTAGTGCCAGCAGTTGTTGACAGGGGGCGGGGCAGGGCGGGGTGGGGTGGGCGTGAGGGAAAGCGAAGTGGAGCATTACTATTCACACAAGGGGAGCTGTTGGTCAGGCTACTTCTTTTTGTACCATTAACTCTAAAATAGTTATTGAATCAATAACAATAAGACTTTATTTGTGTAGCACCTTTCAAACAAATGCTACAAAGTGCTTCACAATAATCAATTAAAACAACATCAGAAATGACATCAGAAACACAAAAGTATACCAAATCAATTCAAATACATAACAATAATATAAAAAAAACCACGAAGTTCAGATATCAAAAGCCTTATTTAACAAGTAAGTTTTAACTAATGGTTTAAAACAAGACAATGAAGAGGCCTGTCTAGTATTTAGAGGAAGAGCATTCCACAAATTAGGATCCCTGACCATAAAACCTCCTCCTGCCACCAGTCGAGCTCTGGGCGTGGAAAGTAATAAGAGATTTAAGGATCTGAGATTGTAAGAAGGGATACGGGGGGTAAGAAGCTCAGATAGATATGATGGTGCAAGACCATTCAGGGATTTAAAAACAAACAATAAAATGTTGAAGTCACTTCTAAAAACCACAGGGAGCCAACGCAGTGAGGACAGAACTGGAGTGATGTGCTGATATTTATGGGATCTTGTGAGAATCAAGTGTTTGCTTATGTAGGTAAACGTAGATGTTTAACAACCCGTTAAAATACACCAGAATGCAGAAAATGGCATCTAATTTATTCAAAAATTTTGGGGAGAACCCCCAGACCCCCCGCCACCATTAACACCAGTGTGTCCTCCCCACATTACAAATGCTTTTGATGCCAATGGCCACCTCGGGCCGTTGTCAGGGGCTAAGCACCCCCAAAGATCAGATTCTAGAATCGCCCCTGTTCAAGTTTCTAAACAGGGATTTGAGCTACTAACTAACCTGTTTACAATAGGACGGTTAAATTGATGTTTACAACTAGCTTTTTGCTAG